GGGGAGGATGGAAGAGCACAGGGAATAGTGGGGATGACTGTGAACAGGAGAGGACGGTTCAGTAAAGGGGCGGCCCCTGCTCAGGGCAGCCTCTTCTCAGCTCAGCCTGCTGTCGCCGGGTGGGAAAAATGGACATGGCGAGGCTCCAGTTTAAGAGAGGCCCTAAAGTTTGCAAGTTCTAAACGTTGACGGTCAATTAAAAAAACAAAAAACAGCCCCGTTGAGCCAAGCAGAATATACAAGCAGGCCAGACCCATCTTCTTCTGTTCCTTTGTTCAAGTCCAAGATAAACAGTGTTGCTCAAATACCAGAAGCCAGATTCCCTAAACCTCACCGGCCACTCGACGGGTGCCTGGCTTGGACCTCCATGGGGATGGGTGTCTGGGGTGCTCCACTCCCCCTTTCCAGATACTGAACTGGTCTCTCCTTAGGGACTTCTCTCTCTTCATGTCCATGCGTTTGGCTGAGGCGCAGTCAGCCCCTGAATCCAAAGGTCAGGCCACGACCCTGGCCGGGCGAGTCGGAGGCCTCATCCTCAACCAGAGTGGACAAGGGAAGGTTCACTTGGGGAGCACGTGCATCAAACCGTGCCAATGGGACCATTCCTGTTTTGTTTTTCCCCAAAAATTATTGGGAAAGAGAATCTCACTTTCCTCTGGGATTGCTAGATAGCTACAAGGATTGTGAAGCGAGAGGCATCCAGGTGCCATTCATGGGAGAGGGGAAAGAACTACACCACCACCAATGGGAGCAGAAAACGGGGAGAGTGAAGGCGGGAAAGACAGATAGACAAGGACCAAATTTGAGCCCCTGACTCCAGCGAAGCCTGAAGCCACAGCCACGTCTGGACTTTGTATTAGGTTAGTAAAAATCTTTTTTTCTTTTTTGAAAATATATTTTTATTGATTTTTTGCAGAGAGGAAGGGAGAGGGATAGAGAGTTAGAAGCATCAATGAGAGAGAAACATCGACCAGCTGCCTGTCAAGGGCATGCCCTTGACCGTGGGTGCCACGTAATGACATCATAACAGCTGGGGGAATAAGCTAGAATAAATATGCAACCAAGGTACATGCCCTTGACCGGAATCGAACCCGGGACCTCTCAGTCCGCAGGCCGACGCTCTATCCACTGAGCCAAACCGGCCAGGGCCTTGA